TCGCCCTATCGTGCACATTTAGTTTGTTACTGCCTTTTCCAACAAAGTGGTATCATAGCATTGATTGCTGTTGATTATCTATTTGAATGATGGAGTCAAATATGATCAAGATGGTTTGTTTGAATGATAGTAATTATCATACTTGGAAATACATGATGAAAGATCTTTTATTTGTCAAGAAAATGCATCTACCTGTGTTTGCTTCTAATAAACCCGAATCTATGAATGATGATGATTTGGAATTTGAGCATCTACAAGTTTGTGGCTATATGAGACAATGGGTTGAAGATAATGTGAGAAATCTCATTGTTAATGAGACACATGCTAGAAGCTTATGGGATAAGCTTGAGACACTTTATGCTTCGAAGACTGACAATAATAAATTATTTTTGTTGAAGCAATTAATGAACATCAGGTATAAAATTTAATGATTTTCAAGGTGTTCTTGACCAGCTGTTCGAAATGGGTGTAAAATTTAATGAAGAAATACAGGGACTATGGCTTCTTAATACTCAACCAGACTCTTTCGAAACTCTTAGAATTTCTTTGACTAATTCTGCTCCCAGTGGTGTTGTGACCATGTAATACGCTAAGAGTGGTGTCTTGAATAAAGAGATGAAAAGAAGATCTAAAGGCTCATATTCTTCTACTTCACACTCCGATGCGTTGGTTACTGAAGATAAGGGGAGAATCAAGTTTAGAGGTCACAATGACTGAGATAAAAGTAGAGGAAAGTCAAAGTTTAGATTCAAGAATGTTACATGTGACTATTGCCACAAGAATGGGAATATCAAGAAATATTGTTTCAAGTACAAAAGAGATATGAAACAACAAAAGAAAGAAGACGATAATGAAAATCGTGTTGCTGTTGTTGCTTACAATGACCTTCTTGTTTCTTGTGATGAAAATGTTGTCAATCTTGTTTGCGATGAGTCTAGCTGATTCGTGGATTCTGGTGCTACTTCTCATGTCACACCCATGAAGGAATTATTTTCTTCTTATATTCCAGGTAATTTTGGGATGTTAAAAATGGGTAATAATCATGAAGTTGTGGTTCTTGGTATTGGGACTGTTTGTTTGGAAGTAATAATGGTTCCAAACTAGTTCTCAATAATGTCAAGCATGCTCCAGATGCTCGCTTGAATTTGATTTCTGTTGGATACCTTGATGATGAGGGTTATGTTAATACCCTTGGTGCTGGCCAGCGGAAGCTTACAAGAGGTTCGATGATGGTAATCTGTGGTGACAAATTGTCTAACTTGTATGTTTTTCAGGGATCCATTCTCAGAGGCTCAGTAAATGTGGTGGAGAATGATACTTCATATGAGTGAGAAGAGGATGGACAATTAGGCTAAGAAAATTTTGCTTTCTGGAGTGAAACAAACAAAGTTGAACAAATGTGTTCATTGCTTAGCCGATAAACAGAAAAAATTTTATTTTCAGAGTCATCCACCTTCAAGAAAGCTTGATTTACTAGAGTTAGTACATTCTGATTTGTGTGGTCCTTTTAAGGTAAAGTCTCATGGTGGTGCACTTTACTTAGTGACTTTTATTGATGACCATTCTCGCAAACTCTGGGTATTCTTTTTGAAGTCAAAGGATCAGGTACTTGATGTGTTCAAGAATTTTCAGGCCTTGGTTGTGTGACAGACAAGGAAGAAATTGAAATGCATTTGTTCTGATAATGGTGGTGAGTATATTGGTCCTTTTGATGAGATATTCTCTCCAGTTGTGAAGATGTCATCCATCAGTGTGGTTCTAGGCTTGGCTGCAAGTCTGGACTTGGAGGTTGAACAGATGGATGTTAAAACTGTTTTTCTCCATGATGACTTGGATGAAGAAATTTATATGGAGCATCCGAAATGCTTTGAAGTCAAGGGAAAAGAGAATTATGTTGCAAGTTGAAGAAGAGCTTGTATGGTCTAAAACAAGCTCCCAGACAATGATACAGGAAGTTTGGTTCTTTTAAGAGTCAGCATGGCTTCAAGAAGACTTCTTCAAACCATTATGTTTTTGTGCAAAAATTCTCTGATGGTGACTTTATTATCGTTTTGCTTTATGTTGATGATATGTTTGTTGTTGGTCATAATACTTGCAGGATTAAAGAGTTGAAGCAAGAATTGAATAAGTCTTTTGCTATGAAAGACTTGGGGCTAGCAAGGCAAATTCTTGGCCTGCAGATTGTCCGTGATAGAGAAATCAAGAATTTGTGGTTGTCACAAGAGAAGTACATTCAGAAAGTACTTCGTAGATTCAACATGGACAAAGCTAAGATTGTCAGTACACCTTTAGCTATGCACTTCAAATTGAGTACTAAACATTGTCTTTCCAGTGATGGTGATAAGGAAGATAAGAAGAAAATTTCGTATGCTTCAGCTGTTGGTAGTTTGATGTATGCAATGGTGTGTACAAGATCAAATATTGTTCATGTTGTTGGTATTGTTAGTCGTTTTCTTTCTAATCCGGGAAGAGAGCATTGGAATGCTGTAAAGTGGATTATGAGATATCTTTGTGGCACTTCTAGTCTGAGTTTGTGTTTTGGGATAGGAAAACCTATTCTTTGTGGTTACACTGATTCAGATATGACCGGTGATGTTGATACTCGTAAGTCTACTTTAGGCTACTTTATTACTTTTGCAGGGGGAGTTGTGTCTTGGCAATCTAGGTTGCAAAAATGTGTTGCTTTATCTACTATAGAGGCTGAGCTTATTGCAGCTGTTGAAACTTGCAAAGAGTTAATCTAGATGAAGAGATTTTTTAGGGAACTTGGTTGTGCTCAAGAGAGGTATGTGCTTTATTGCGATAGTCAAAGTGCTACATCTTGGCAAGAATTCCACATTTCATGGTCAGTCTAAACACATTGATGTGAGGTATCATTGGATTCAAGATGTGTTGGATTCTAAGTTGCTTGAACTTGAAAAGATCCATACCAATGATAATAGTTCCGACATGATGACTAAAGCTTTGCCAAGAGGGAAGTTTGAAGAATGTTGCATGATCGTCGGGATGGTGGTTTCCTCCACATAGTCGGTATGGGGAGAATTGTTGGATTTTGGGCGTTTTTTCCATCCTATGTGGATAAATAAAAGTTCAAGGTTTTGGGTCTTCCTTCCTTTCCTTTGTGGATAAATTTAGCCCAAATTTGACTAGCCCACTTTTGCCCATAAGCCCAATATTATGGTACATATGTAAGACTTTCTTTTAGGTCTTATTTGAGACATATCACAAGAGATTGAGAGCAGCTATATAGAGAGAAAAATGAGAGAGTGCAGATTTTCGCACAAGCCCTAGCAGCCTATTTCAAATCGCGATTCCTGCTTCGTTTTATGTCCGATTGAGCTGATTTTTGGATAGCATGTTCCTTTCAACTTAATCTTTTATTGAAAACTGAGATAGGGTGATTGGGAGTCCTATAGCTCCAGATTTTAGCTTGTGAACAGTAGCTGCGAGTTTGGTGCTTTTGCTTCTTTTATTTCTCTAGTTTTTTGGTGCTATCTTGTAGTTGTGTTGCTCATTATTTGGCACTTTTGTTGTGGCTATTTTGGATAACACTTTTGTAACTCTTGTTGATTATAGTGGAGCTTTGGCCTTGTGGTTTTTACTCTTCACACCGAAGAGGTTTTGCACGTTAAACTTGGTGTTTCATGTGTTGATTTATTTTCTTGCTTGGTTGATTTGTTTGCTGCCTAAACAATTTTATTTTTACATTATTTTATCTTCTCTTGGTTCAAATAGAAGGAAAAGTTTTGACTTTGATTTTCTTACGCTATCGCCCTGTCGTGCACATTTATTTTGTCCTTGCCTTTTTCAACAAATTGGTGGAGAAAAAAACAAGGCTAACTAATGAGTAACTAAATGTATAGCTTTTATTTGTTTTTTCATCCTATGTTCGTAAATTTTTGTCAAGCCAGAATATTAATATACTATTTCCGTCCAGATTGTCACAGTTTTTTTTAAAGTTAAATTATAAAAACTTTGAATAATATTTTATGATGTATTTTTTCATCATATTAATATGCAACAAATTGCAATTTATAGTACTTTTCGCATAATTTTTCAAATATCTAATTTTTTTGTTTAAAATATCGAATTAATGTAACCTAATTTAATTTTAAAAATTAGTTAAATTAACTTTCGAAAAACACAATAGGATAAAAAGTGGACAGAGGGAGTAAGTGCAATTGGCACAATTTGCTACTTCGATTACAACGACAACTAACATGCCTAAGCAATGACTTTTTTTCTTTATGCATCTAGAAAAGTCGGGGTTATAGTAGTCTATTTTTTTATGCAAAGAAAAAGATATTTTTATTTGACTATTAAGTGCTTTTGTTATTTATTTGTAAAAAATTAATTAATATGAATTTAAATACCGTGTTCACACCGCGGTGGAGCAAGGAATATGCTTGTCCTCTTTTCTTATTTGTTCTTCACAGTTATCGCCTGTCTCCCGTATTTATTTCCCAAGATATTTACTACACCAGTCATCTCATTTTAATTTTTTTCATACTAGTTAGTTAGTATTTTTATAATAAAAACAATTCAATATTTTTAATCTTAAAATGTGATACTAGTAACTATTTTTGGGACAATTTTTAAAACTAAAACAATTAAAATGAGACCAAGGTAGAAGTGAGAGATGCTTTTATATATATATCCTTAGAAGTTAATATTTTTTGATTTTTTGATAACTTAAACTCATAATTTTAAAATTTGAAGTGAATGGTGCATATTATTCAAACAAGTTACTTTTATCTCAAGATTTTTTTTAAAATTTTTTATCCGATATTAAAAACTCACTATATTTGAATCGCGTGCCGCTGAACCTATTTAGGAGCGATGCTCCCAATAGCATTGTTTTGTGCTTTTGTTTTTCCTTTTTTCTGTTTCCTCCCGGTCCTGGCCCCACACGTCTTTCATTCAAACACAACATCTACCACTCCAATGACTCCACGTGTCCTACCTTCCTCGGTTGCCTAACCCCCCGGTTTCTTTCAACTCTTCTCGGCTAAGGAAAGCCCCTTGTCTTGCCTAATCCGCTAATTCCTCATTTTTCTTCTTTTTGTTTCGACATGGACTAATATGCCCTTCCTGAACTCTCTCATTTTAAACGGACCAAGCACCAACATATAGAAAAAGCCCAAGGTCATAATGGAACTTAAAACAACCAAAACCAGTTAAATACTCACTCCACTACCAATTTTATAGGCCATCACAAAACAGCCATTGTTACACTTCTCAGGGGAAAAAAATGGGATCGCAATTCGAGGTGGAGGTGAAGATCTCATCAGCTAAGGATTTGAAGAACGTTAATTGGCGTTATGGCCGTCTTAAGCCATATGCTGTTGTTTGGGTTGACCCGAAAGGGAAATGCTCCACCAAAGTCGATGATAATGGCGATACTTCTCCTTCTTGGAATGAGAAGCTTGTGATTCCTTTGTATGCTCCGATCGAAGAGTCTACTTTGTATATCGATGTTGTTCATGCTAATGCAACCGAGGGAACAAAGCCTTTGATTGGTTCAGCTAAGCTTCCGCTTCGTGAGGTTGTTGATAGCGTCGGAATCGGAAATTTGACGGAGAGGTCGCTTGATTTGAAGCGTCCTTCTGGTCGCCCACATGGAAAGGTGAAAATTGAGGTTACTGTTCGTGATCCGCGCTATCGTGCGCCGGATCCGTATTATGCGCCTCCTTACGGTGTACCTCCACCAGCTGGATCAAGGGATTACCCTGCTCCGCCGCAACCTTACGGCGGATCATACGGTGCTCCTGGTGCTGCTCCTTCCCCTTACGGTGCTCCTGCCCCTGCTCCTTCCCCTTACGGTGCTCCTGCTCCCTATGCTGCTCCGCCGGCGGGTTACCCGTACAACGCCGCTCCTGCTCCAGGTCCAGCTCCGGGTTATGGTGGAGCTCCTGCTCTGGCTCCGGGTTATGGTCAACAACCAGGTTACGGTGCTCCTCCTGCGCCGTACGGGCAGCAGGGTAGTTACGGACAGCAGCCTGGTTACCCGCAACAAGGAGGTTACGGATCGCAGGGTAGTTACGGGCAGCAGGGAAGCTACGGGGCGCAGCCTCAGGGTAGTTACGGATCGGAGAAAGCAGGGTATGGTTACGAGGAGAAGAAGAAGAGCAAGTTCGGAGGAATGGGGCTGGGAGCGGGACTGGCTATGGGTGCGGTTGCAGGAGCACTGGGTGGATTAGCCATATCTGAAGGTATTGATCACATAGAAGATAACATAGCCGAGAAGGCAGCGGAGAAGGTTGAGGATGATCTTGACGATGGTGATTATGACAATGATGATTACTAGATCACTTATTCACATTTTCTATATAATCCTCGCGTCATTTTTACGCCTTGGTAAAGATTTAAAAAAACAAGCTACTTCAGTGTCAAAAAGCAAAAACTTGTAAACTTTATGCTTTTAGTTTTAACTGTTGTTCGATGTAATATGTTTTTTGGAGTATTGATCAGATAACATGTAATGGATGTACCTTTTTGCTGTAATTTCAATATCTTGTATCCAAAATTTCATGCTCTAGACACTCCTAGTTCAGCAATGTCTACTGCTTCAATAATGCTATTCAAAGTTAGTAGCATTCACAGAAATTGCTCTCAATCTAGTTTTGTTTGAAGTAATTAAGGAATAGATTCCTTACTTCTTTCTCTCATTCAAAATTGTGCATGAAACTTTCATCTTACACGGCTCCTAAGTGAAAAAAGAAAGAAGAATCTATGTTCTTTCTTTTTTATCACCTTCCTTGCATATGTATAAGACCCTTTCTCCCACTCCTTCGTCAAACTCCGATTTATATATTTTATAGAGAAATCTCGGATCAAGAATAAATCAAGGGCCCTTTTGCATCATATCTAAGGAATTCCTCGGTTCGTGCCTGATTGGTAAATACTCAAGATCTTGTGCATTGGAACATTAGTATATATGAAAGAGTGAAAAAGTGCTTTCGTTATAGCAAAATAAGAAGCCATATACATCACATACGCTGGATCAAGTAAGAACTCCAGAGTTCCAACAAGCTACTGCTACATCCATTTCATTAGGAATTGGTGATCTTTTAAGTTTTAACAATACCCTTTAAAGGATGGCTACTTCAAGATGTTGAACAACAAAGTTTGATTTCGGAAAAACACCGTCATTATGAGAATGTACATGCAGTAAAAGATTATGACAATCCATTGAAATATGGTATGTTACAAGTGAATATTTGTGCCAAGAAATGAATATATAAACATACCATATGACTCACTTTGAAGTGTGTACTTCATAAACGTAGGTATACTAATTATCTCTTACCTAACTTAATGATACTATATGTTTTGCTCTTTTACTCTGCTTCAATCGTCAATCGAATGGAGTTAGAAACTAGGACTTTAAAGAGCTTGAGAAAAGTAGATAAATAGAAGTAACTTAACAATTTATGACGAGATCAATAGCCTTTGTAATCAGAGGCGAATTCAGGATTTCAAAAAGACGGGTGCACCATTGTCAGGGGCGGCTCTGCTCCTTTAAGAAAAAGGTAACCACTTTAGGCTCCCAAATTTAAGGGCCTCATTTATTTTAGCAATAATAGAATATAGGTTTTTCATAAATTAACTGTTAAATACGATTTGCGGAAAAGAAATTATTAGAAGTTTGATATATCTCGAGTACTATGTCACAAGAAAAATTAAATGCATTGATTATATGAATTATTGATTGAAAAATAATTATTAAAAGAAACAATTTATAAAAAAAATATATATACAATTTTGCATCTCAAGAAATTTAAAAGGTACACTTTATAAAAAGAAAATGATACATTTTCAAAAAAATTTAAGAGCTCTCAAGCTTTTAATTATTTTGTTTTAAAAAATAACAAACAATGGTGTTTTTTAATTAATTTTTAAAAAGAGGTTATCTCTAGGAATCGAACCCTCAACCATCAAAAAATAACACTAGAACCAGTGAACCATCTGGTCATTTGTAATTATGGGTTCCTTTATTTAATATTTAGTACATTTAAAAAATTATACAAATAATAAATCGAATTTTGTCAGATGACCACAGATTCGGTGATCCATTTTTACACTTAAATTCGCCCCTGGGCGTGCATCATCAAATTGAGCTCTTTAGTTCAATGGTTACAATTTGTAACCATTGAACTAAAGAGCTCAATTTGATGATGCACGCCTCATTGAGGTGTATGTAATGAACCATAACACTAACACATGACTAAAACCTTCGTTTAGCCATGAAAATAGTGGAAGAGTATTTTTTTTTTTTGTTCACATGAAATGATTGACTTATTAATTACGATTCGATTTTTTAAACTTATTTAATATTGAACTTGAATTGACAAAAGCATTCAAAGTTTGCCGTATGTTCTGTCATCATCCCTTCCGTGTCTCAACAAATACATTTTTTTTTTGTTGAAATATCTTTCTTTTGGCTTTTAAAATAATTTTGGTATGTGATAGCTACTCATGTGCATTGGTGCCAAGACTTGTTAATTACTTCTTAAGAACACGTCACCCACTTAATTCAAAAAATATACTACTTAATAATTAATGTTGTTAACATGGCTTCAATTATATATTGGGATCATTGTCGTCCCACTTAATAATAATCTTCAAACATGATGAATATATATCATTATTGTGGTTGATATTGAAGCTAGCTAGTTGCCTTGTAAGATTAATCAGAGTAAATGTAGGGAAGTTTGTGGGCAATGCTTAATCCCTTGCAGTGTAAGTCCCCTAATAACATCTTAGACGTACAGATAAATATTCTCTTGTCTTCAAAGCTAAAAATAAACAATAAAAAAAGCATATAGTATATGACTTAGCATTTATTATAAGAGGTGCTTTAAACGTGTGCTCTGCTCTCTCCTTCACCTTCTGGAATCATCTCTCTTTTATTTAAAGTGCTGTTTCCTCTCTCATATTTGAATAGTTACTTGTAAAATCACCTTTTTTGAGTTTTCTATCTGCAGGACTAAGAAGAAGAATGAAGATAAAATTTCGTCCAGTATTGAGAAAGTATATTGCATGGAATGGTACGTTTCCTATTTATGTTTCAGTTTAAATACTTGATTTTTTTTATTCATAAATATAAAATTTTAGAGGCATATATTATTTTAGGTATAATACACGTAGGACACCACATAAGACGTGAATTGTCATGTAGCATGCATGTATCTATTTGTGCATATATAAAAGTGAAGGGCATAAATGCATGTCTGCTGAGACCAAGTTAAAAAACATGTTTATGTCTTGCGTCTTTATCTTTTATCTTATTTAATAGCCCTAACAAAATGTTGGATAAATTTGACGATAAAGAGTCAAATGTACCCATATACTATTAGAAAAAGTTTAAATATACTCTCATTATAATTTAGGTCCAAATATATCCGAGTTATACAAGAGAAGCACGTTTTTTTGGCATGTTACAAGTTGGGCCAAAAGTGTCAAAATAATATAGTAGCCAACAAGTCATACGATTATAATTACTTTCTGGTCCCCTTGGGACTATATAATATGTCCAAAAGCACGTGGTTTGTGTTATATAGTACAAATATACAATCATCAATATGGATTTGGATTGGGTTGTTGGGATTTTTCTCAGTTCTTTAACTCATTATTAGTTATTTCATCCTCAAATTATTTTGAATTTGATTATTATCCGTATTAGAGTCCGACTAAATTTGAATCTGCGTTGGAAAGTTTCACAATGGGATTTGGGAGTATTGGGGTAAATCGCTTGTTAACAAAGACGACTCATGTTAATCTTGTGAAAAGAAAATTTATAAACAATCAAAATATTAGATTACGCTTATTAATCCTTCGAATCCCACCATCGTTTGTTAGATATTTTCCGTATATTAATTGGGTATACTTTTGTCCAAAGCTTTTTTCGAGCAACAAAAATGGCTAATATTTGATAGAACTTATACTTTTGGGCTTTGTTGGAATGCTGTATGCTTTAACTCAAAAATCTTTTTTTTTTGTTTACTTGCAGAGGCCCAAGACCCGAAACAGGCCCACATGGAAATGGACCTCCGAGAGGAATATGCCCATGCTTTTCGAACCGAATCCTATGCTGATTTCTGGACACGTGTCCTTGCTTTATCCGAAAAGATTTCTTCTCCGACCAAAATTGTGGGCTCCACTTCAGCTGCTCGGCTTCCCTCTTACCGGCTTTTCGTGGAGCATCTTTTGGATCCGGACCAACCCACTGTGACTCGAATTCTCGGTTTGATCCAAACCCATCAAGACACCCACTCTCTATTATCTGAATACTTCTCACAAACTGCTGAAACTTCTCTACTTTGTAGTCTATTATTAAAAGACGTGCAACGTACGCGCTCTAGATATAAATCACTTAAGTCCGCCTTAGATTCCCTCCAAAAAACACCGTACTCACCTAAAAAACACATGCCCAAAATCCTAACCCGATTAACTAAATTCTGCAACTCACTTAACCCGCTTGTTTCATCAACATCTTCTCCGCTCCGATTTAAAACCGTTCAAGCTAACTGCTCGCAATTACTAAAACGGATTGAGCTTAAGCGCGATAAGACCAAAGCGAAACTCCGATTAATAAATAAATTCAAACGTGGCTCAGCCATATTTGTCATGGCTCTAACAATCTCGCTTACCGTTATTGTAGCGACTCATGCACTAGCCTTGTTAGTTGCGGCTCCAACGGTAATGATGGCTTCATTCCAGCTGATGTCGACTAAGAAGCTGGCTAGCTGGTCGGCTCAGCTGGACGTAGCCGCGAAAGGTACGTACATATTGATTAGAGACTTGGACACTATAAGTCGACTAGTGGGTCGGCTAAATGATGAGTTAGAAGACTTACAGGCCATAGTTCGGTTTTGGCTCGAGAGAGGTGGAGACCCGCTTCAGCTTGAGGTACAAGCCAGCGGAGAAGTGGCGCGCCAGCTGAAAAAGAATTATGCAAACTTTGTGGAGCAATTGGATGAATTAGAAGAACATTTGTACTTGTGTTTCATGACAATTAATAGGGCTCGAAATCTTGTTATTACTGAAATTATGAATTCGCGCCCATATTTGTTAACCCAAATTAAAGAATAGTGATGGGAATTCGTATCTCACGTGACCTTCTATGTGTATTATGTTATGTATCACACGTGTCTCTACATGTTTAACTTTGTGCAAATTTAACTGTCTATTTGTGTAAGATGAATGACATAGATGATAGATAAAGTCAAGTTAAAAAATATGTTTATGCATTTATATTTTATTATATAATTTCATGTAGTTTTCATTTAAGAAACGGTCGACATTGAAATTTTGTGGCTAGATGTGTTCAGTTTGAGTTGGGACTCTACGAGGTGTGTTCAATTCTAATTAGGATTCTTGGAGGCTACTCAACCTTAAATCCTAATTCATGTCTATATAAAGGGTACTATATTCCCTTTAAGTGACATGTCAAATTCATGAAATATTTATAAAGAGATCAAATTCAAATCATCTTGATTCGAGAAATATACCACTAACAGCGCTCGAATTATGAAGATCAAGTCCGAATCATCTT